AAGAGATATGGGATTCACTGAAATGGAATTACTCCCAATAGAAGAGTAGGGAACACAAGTTATTGTCAAAAGCAGTAGGATCTCATCAGATCACAGTAATGAGAAAGCAGAACAACGCAAACCCCACCCCCTGAACAAACCAGGAATATACAAGTAGAAAGAAAAAGCATCTGCTTACAAAAGAAAAATCCAAACCAAGCCAAACAAAAAACCCCTCAAACGTGCCCCCCCCTCCCCCCCATTACATAGGTTGTTAGCTCAGTCACTGAAGCAAGACTGCAGTATTTAGGTCATAATGGCTCAACAGCAGGTTACTAGCACATGGACGTAAAAAAAATGTTATTTCTGTATCGGTGAGGAGTCTGAGAAATTGTCCAGTAATTTTATCTGAACTGTCAGAGCCCACTCTGTGGACTCTAAGAGAAACTCAGAGTGCACCATAAATTGATTAGTATATTAATTTTATCTGATACCTGTATTCAGTCCATGCATTTTATTTTTCTAGCTTGTTTTTCATACATATGTTGTCACTTTTCCTTACAGATCAGAGTAGACCAGAGTTTGACAGATTGTTCAGTGAAAAGTGTTTGCCCATGTTAACTGGATGGTTCTGTCCTTGACTGCTTTCAACAGATTTCTTTTTTATGCCATGTCATTACATTTCATCTATGTAGTTCCATAAAAGCAGCTAATGTACTGAATAAAATATATTATGAAGAAGTTTGTATGTAGGCACTGTAGATTTCAGTGATTCTACTGGGATTTTATTGTGGTGATTTCCACTTTTGCTCTGCAATTCTTACATGATACTTCAGCAACTTTTTTTTTGGGTGGGGGTGGATCTATATATACCCATTTCACCACATGAATAGTCCTACTGACTGAAGTTCTCTGTAGGCTTTTAAGAGAGAGACTGTGACCATTCCACTCAACAAATGTGCGGCTCTACACTCAGCTGGGGTTTTTTTTCTGGTGTGTTTTGAACAGTTTCTGGTTTTGTGCATGTGCACGTTTGAACTTGTTTCTTTCATTATACTTTGTAACAACTGTCACAAATGGAACTCATAGGTTTTAAAAATTCAGTCTGTATTTGTTGAAGAAAAAGTGACTGTGATGGCATAACTACAATATGCAGTACTTTCAGAGGCATGCATGATGCTACAGCCAGAGATTCAAACTGAAGCATTTTTAACAGTCAAGGGCACTAATGACCGAAATAAAGCATAAAGAGAAGCAGTAGTTTATCTTCAATTCTTCAAATGAAGACAGGATGCCTTTTTGCAAAGCATATATAAGCCCAGTTAGCTTGACAAAATGTAAAGATAACCTGGTAAAATTTAACTACATATATATGAAGAGGTCAGACTAAATGTTTTTAAGCTATTACAGCCAGATAGTATTATAAATAAGAATGTAAAATACTGCTAATATTAATAGTTTAACTACAAATTAGTGAAGTGTTATTTACATGTGAAATTCAAATGAGGAAAAGACTTATCCTGGATCCCCCTGTGTGTCCCAGTCCCTAACTGAGTTTTTGAATGTATTTGTAAACTTCCCTCGCTTGGCAAGGATAACCAGTTTGAAGAATGTCTTCCCTTCAGGTTTTCTGAAAATCAGCAACCAAACAGAGAAGAAATAATTTATCTACTCATCAGTAAGGGAAAGCTACAATATATGCTACTCCTCCACAAACCATGAGGTGTAAGATCAGCTTTGAAACTGTAGGAAAACAGGCCTCATTAGATCCATTGCTCATGGAGCTAGCTGTGAATTTCAGTCACACTTACGATTTCAGCTGATCCTCTGTCAAATGGAAACTCAATTGTACTGACTTTCCCCTGAAACTGCGGGATCTCTGTATCATCTTCATTTGGGCTTTTGATTTTTGCTATTATTCTGCCAACTAGATCAATTCCAGTGTGGTTGTTGTATTTATCCTGTAATTAAAAAAGACAAAGAAGTTAGTTTGGAACACGAACTGACATAAGTAATCCATTTATATACTGTATTGGGTTTATGGGGCAAGGTGCTGGCAGTGGGGGGGCTGCAGGGGTGGCCCCGTGCCAGACATGGCCAGTTCCAGCCCGCTCCAACCAACCCACTGCAGGGCACAGCCAAGTCCCTTAGCCAAGATTGTGGTTCCTCTGGGAAAATAAATATTTAAGAAAGGACAAAAATGCACAGGCAGAGTAGGAGAAGGGGGGTGGGAGGGAGGAAGAAACAGCAGAGGGAACACCAAGGCGAGAGGAGTGGCGGGAGGTGCTCCAGGCACCGGAGCAGATATTCCCCCGCAGCCCATGAAGGACCACGGTGGAACAGATATCTACATGGCAGCTCGTGGAGGACCCCATGCCGCAGCAGGTGGGTATTTGCTGAAGGACTGCAGCCTGTGGAGAGGGCTCATGCTGGAGCAGTTTGTAGAATCATAGGATCGTTTAGGTTGGAAAAGACCTTTAAGATCATGGAGTCCAACCATAACTCTGACACTGCCAATTCCACCACTAAATCATGTCCTTAAGCGCCACATCTACACGTCTTTTAAATACCTCTGGGGATAGGGACTCAACTACTTCCCCGGGCAGCCTGGTCCAGAAGGACTGCAGCCCATGGAGGGACCCACACTAGAGCAGGGAAACTGTGAAGAGGAAGAAGCGGCAGAGAGGAGCTGTTATGGACTGAGCGTAATCCCCATTCCCCACCCCTGCACCACTCCGGGAGCGGTAGGCGTCTGGAGCAAAGCTGAGCCTGGCAAAGGGTGGGGCAGAAGGTGTTGCTTCACTTTTTTTGTCTCTGTTTCTCACTACTCAAATCTGTTTTAATTGGCGATAAATTAAACTAATTTTCCACAAGGTGAATCTGTTTTGCCCATGGCTGTAACTGGTAAGGGATCTCCCTGTATCCCTGTGAATATTCAAAGTTCAGGAAACCTTGTTTTTTGTAATACAAGATTCCTCAGAGAAACTGTCTCCTGAAAAAAAAAGTCATGGAGAGAAATATCTGCTGTATAGATGTTTTCCCACTAGAATCTATTCTTGAAACATTTTTTTCCTGTGGCAACAAGAAATGGGTTTCAATTGACAGCAAGGATTGCATGGTTTAGTTTTGGTCACCTGTATGTAAATAGAACAAGATGCACCTGTTCTATACAGGAAATCACCGATTTACATCTTTTTTGTGAAGTTAACCTGCAAAGTGATAGCAGCAATGCCTTACAGAAAAATTCAACATATTTTTAGCAGTCTTATATATTTCCCTAATTATGACTTTGTATTAAAGTATAGTTACCATTACATGGAGGTATAAATCCTTGACCAGTGTACGGCTAGTAAGAGCTCGAACATTGGAAACTGCCGGAGTAGCTGGCAAAGAATCAGGTAACAAGCGTACAGGGTCATTAGGTACAACTTCAACTATAATCTAGCAGAAAAAGGAGGAAAAATAAAATAAAATAAAATAAAGACTGATACAATTTACTGCAATTCACCTGAACACATGGGTTGCTCAAAAAATACTGCAACAAATGCATGTGAAATTTACTGACAATCTTGAAATAAATTAGCACGACCATAAAAAAGTTCTACTAGGTTGCAAATTATGCAGCTCTGTTATTCCACAAAATTTCTGGTTAGTTATAAAAGCTAATCAAAACATATTTTGATAATCAACAGTTTGAAATCAGTAACTATCAAAAATAGAAATATAATTTTTTTGTAAAGCTTGCACGTGAAAGTATTTGCATTCTGAATCTACAAAGTATAATAATATTTCTCCCAGATGATTCTGTATTACACATTCTTGGCTACATGTAATTAATTATAGATTCAAACCTGGTCACTGTTGAGCACATTTATCTTATCCATTGCAAAGGTAAACTGGATACTGTAAGTGCCCACTCTCTCTGGAACCACTTTATCCCTAAATAAATCAAAAACAAAAGCCAAGCAAAAGTGAATCAATATTGAAGTGACAAGTATGTAAGTATGCAAGCAATTCAAATTCTGAGTAGTCCTCCAAAACAGTTAAGAGTCCTGTTAAGGCATGACATATTTTACTACTCCTCCATAATACTCCTCCTTCAGCAAGAACGCCATGGAAGTTTCTCAAGAACTAGAATAAGGCTTTTGGAAGCTTGGATGAGGAAAGTCTCCTGAAGAGTTTGTCTCTAGTAGCTGACAGGAAGTTTGTCGTGGGCCTATAATTCAGAAATCTGCAAGTCTACCTCATTTCACTTTCCATTCAATGAATTTTTGTAAAGCTACTGAAACAGAGCATATTGATGCTTAGATCTGCAACAGCAATAAATGCTCTCCAAATTTAATCATTTGGCTTGAATTTACATAAATATGAGTAGTTAATTCCTTCTCTTTACTCAGAAAGTGTATGAAGTTGGTCAACTTGGACCAGTGGCCAAAGTTGAGTATAGTAAGACAGAAAAGAGTTTTCATTCTACCTTACAGTGTTCCAGAGTACAGACTACTGGCAAAGAACCCCTAACATCAAAATATGAGGGGAATACAGATGCCTGCACTTCTACTGCTATAAACAGAACTTCACCTAGCAAGGAAGGCCACACAGCATCCAGAAGACTGCTGCAGTGTTTAACAAGGGACAGCAGTGACTTATAAATGCTTAGAAACTTTTGAGGAGATGCAAAGAATCTCTAACCAAGATTCAAAAATTCATCTGAGAGGATGACTTGTGGCACTCTTGAATAGGTTAATGAGATTTTTGTTTTCAACCTACATCATTTTATCTGTTTGTCACTAACATTAAGCGATTTCTTTCCTCTTATTTTGTTTGGGAAGGAGTAAGATGCAAGACTTCCTGAAACGCTTAACTTGTAAAAACCAAAACCCCCAAGCTTTACCTATTTCTAGAATGAGCCATGACTGTCCTTTTTGGTATTTCATATAGAGTAAGAAGAATTCTACCTTCCTTTCTGCATTTTAGCTAGGTTAAGATGTAAAGTAGCATCTGCCTTGTCAGGATGCATTAAAACAATGAGTTGTAAATAATCTGCTAAGGATCTCATGGCTGAACACTATCTATCCAGAAATATGCTTTAGAAAAAGAAGAGAATGTGCAATTGTTATGAAAGTTGTAAGACTGCGTAATAGCATCCATGTTACCGATTTGTGTTAAACAGATGAAAACCATCTGTGACTGAACAGGAAAACTTGAGAGAAACCAGGTGGTAGACAGTGATGCCACAGGCACTGGCAACAATGAGTAACATGTACTTTCCTACACGGGCTGCTAATGGGTAGTCTCTACCTACTGTCTGCTCTTTCAGATTTTTCAATAAGGTTGGGAGTTTTAATTCCAGACCTTCGTGGACAACTAGTAAGCTACAGGTACTAATGTCAAGATTTTCATAATTATGTATTTAACTCTATATAGGTTAGTTTATATCACACTGACCACTGTAGTACTTTTCACAGGAGAACACTTATTAGCATGACTACACATTGGCACACTCATTCTAGTTTTCTTTTTCTGGAGCTACAAATATATGACGCAGAGTGCCTTGTTTTGATAATGTTTTAGAGAGTTCTCATGTTTTAACTACACCTATAACTAAGAATTTCTCAGAATGACCAATGTCACAGAAATGCACCTCATACTTGGTGCAAGTCTGCAGTGATCCTTGGTTTCTGGAGAAACCTTCCTTAACCTTGGACTAGCCACACAGAAAGCTCTGCTCTGTTAAAAGCAAAACTGCACCGTTATTTGGGAGTCTCCTTGTGCTACAGCTACCAAACTCAGCCTTAGAAGGCTTTGGAACCTCGAGTGCCTTCAAGGTAAAGACACATCTTGGTAATGATACAAAAAGCCATGTTTAAATAGCTTTTTGAATTAGTTATAATCTCTTAAATGAAAAATCCTTCAAATACAAATACATTACGTTGCTGTACACCATCTGAGAAGCTTAAAAAGACCAAATAAACAAATGTCATATCAACTGCCTTCTGAGATGGGATAGTTTCTTGGCTGGATATGACAGAGGGAATCACAGATGGAGGCATGTTTGCACTGCATATCAAGCTGGGTCAGAATCCTGGATTTGAGCCTCAGCTAACTGGCTCCCCAGGAAAAAATATGTTGAAGACTTAATGCTACATCAAGGTCTTGAAAGCACATAGGTTCCCAAAGATTACAAATTGGATGCCTGGCTTCCTGAACTCTATTATGCACCTTGAAAGGGAGGAGAGCCACAGCTGAGAGGCAAGTGAGGAAACTTCCTATCACCTCTTGAAGTGCTGCCACTCAGATGCTCCTGGAATCTTGACACAGCTGAGCTGCAGCAGCCTCTGTTCCTCTGATGCAGGAACCAGGATCAGCTGTGCAACAGTGCTATCTGCTGCATTAAGGTGATCCTACAGTCCGCTTTCTAAAAGCAGAAGGAAAGTCTGTTCCTAGGAGGCAAGAGCTTGAATCAACAGCCGGTAGCACAACGATTTAACTGCTCCCATAGCACGCCTGCCAGGAATAGATGTAGAAAGAATGTGGCAGTCAGGCACCAGCTTATGATGAACTCTAGTTCTGCTGCGTGTCATCTAAGATACCATCTCTGAGTAAGTAACCCAAGGAAAGACCACTAAACTGACAGGGCCAAGGTCACGGTTCAGGATTAACACACAGCTACAGAAGGTATTAAGACAGAGTTAAATCCACTTTGTTCAGCCTGCAATTCTACAGCAGTTGAATGTAACACTAAAAAGAATTAAGTTAGACAAGTGACAAGCAGATGATGTAGTCCCTTCATTGCTAGCATTTCTCATCATGTATTCTAATATATTCTCAGACTCCTTTCTTCTACTCTCAGATTAAACAAATGTCAAATGTCTCTAAGGAAGAATTCAATCCTCATGTTCATTGCATCTTGCTAATACCTTTTACCGTTTCACAGCACTGTATCATACTAATTCTATAACAGATTGTTATTATCAAAACCTAAAACTCGTTTCTATTTCAAATACTGATGCAACTTACTGTACAAAATACATAACTATAAGTGCTGCTATACCTGAAGTAAAAGAAGCCATCTTCTTTATCATCCCTCACTTTACTACAGCTAAATGTTGTAACCTGAAAAGAGAGATGCAAAAAAATTAATGCAATACACTGAAAGTTGAAGTACCTTACTTGTAATATGCTATCAAGTCTTAATGATTTGCAGTACTGATAGCATACAGAAATTTAATGAGATCACCTATAATTTAGACGCTAGCTTCATATTTTTAATTCTTGAAGTCTTTTCTTTGCAAAATTCAGGGTGGCAACTTTTAAGTCTCCCTGCTATCAGTTAGCTTCTGCAGAGCAGTAGCATTTTTGTCCTTAGTATAGTCTTGACATTTGAACAGTCTGACAACTTGTGACAGGACAGATATCGATGAACAAATATGACTGATATGCAGTACTTGTTATTTAAAATCTAGTACAGGATATTGATCCAAGTTAAATGAAGGAAAGTTTCTATTACAAATATGTGTGTCCTATGGTGGCATTTTGATATCCATTTTGAAAATGCATTTTGATGACTTACATCAACTGATATCCTAGTTCCGCTGCTCTGTGTTTCCCACATTTTCATAGAAATCCGTGCTGGATTAATATTTTTAATAATGTTATCATCTTCAGAAAGAACACTAACCATAAAATCTGTAGAATGAAAGACAACATTTTTTCAAGACTATTTTTATTCAGAATTAAGAAGATCAAACTCCATGAATTTCTGTGTCTGTCTCATACCTAGAGGAAAAACACACAAACCCCACATTCCAGACAGGACCCAAACAACAAAAAATTTAAAACCAGATATGGAAAACCTTCTCTCCCCAGCCCTGTAATTAGACCAGGTAACAATCCTTAGGAAAAAAAAAACCCACCTACTTCATCCAATGACTGCTTAGAAAACCCCCTCAAATTTCAAGTCTGCCTTTCCTAGATTATCATTCCTATCAAAACAGCAAACCAGGCTGCTGCTTGCTCTCAGGAAAGAACGATCATTAGCTAGTTAAGTAGCTGATTCCTTCCTTCAAGGACAGTAAATCCAGATCTGCCTCTTCCTTCACAAGCGCTTTAGCCATTAAACTCCTGGATAGAAAGGCGTAGTAGTTGGAAAGAGACTGTACCAACACCACTACTATTTTCCCCCTTTATTAGCCACACTGTAATAAAAAGAAGGACTCAGGCTATGAATCTTAAGCCAAGTTTGGCTACTTCTTACAGACCAGTATCACATACTTAAATGTTAGAAGTAGGATACAGGGCCTGGTCCTGCAGTCAAAATACTTGCCATTTTATATCCTGATCTGAAAAATTTAGCTTATCCTATATATTCCATAGAAAGTTTAGTGGTCTGAAGGAAATGGAATCCAACCTAGAATAAAGCTACCCTTCTTCTAATTGAAAATGTGAACTAAGCACTTTGACACTATGGTTAGAGGTGGATTTCAAGCATGTAATTGAAGCAGCATTGCTCATGTAGAACTGAATTTTGCACCTTAAGGAAGGACTGTGCTTTGATGTGTATGAAAAATTCAGGCATGACTTCCACCAAGATTATGGTGCCTGCCCTCAGGTGTACCTGAGTTCACCAGTAAATCCAATAATTAGGGTGTTAATTCAATACGAGGCTGTTAATAAGGAATTTAGTATCTAATTTTATATGAAAATTTAATGTCATATATACTATGTTAACTCCTGAGGAAGCTGTTTAATTCTCTTCCTCTCTCAAAACCTGGTTAATTTCTACTACATACTACATTTGAAAAAGGTCTATTTGGCAGGGGGGTTGAAACTAGATGATCTTTAAAGGTCCCTCCCAACCCAAACCACTCTGTGATGCTATGATTCTATAGTATGCTTCCTCTAGGCAAAACTAAAATACCTTGTGAATTTAGTCAAGTTCTTAACACTGTATGGAGTATTTTAAAGAACAAAACCCTCCTTCCATAAAAATGTTGGCTCATCAAGTTATGACAGTATAATTATTATCTTTGAATATGAACCTTCTCTGGTCAAGAAACAAGCCCCCACACCACAGATATCATATTTTGGGAGGTATTCTGCTTCGCAACTCCTACGACTACAAATAAATCCTTTTTGTTCTAAATTTTGAACAGATGTTGCAGGCATTTCAGACAGGCTTGGGATAAAACAAATGGATTTGTATGAAGCAGATTTACTGATTTTTTTGTCACCTTTAAGAGATGTTTATCATCTGGGAACCTAGGAGTATTTACAAAGGAGTAAAGAGAGCAGGTGGGAAAAATTCAGATGCTTATGCTGAAATCACACTGTGAAACAGCAACAGAACTGAAAACACTCCTTAGATAGACAATTTTTTTCTTTGTTTTAAGTCCACCTAAAGGCAAAGGAAAGACTGAAGTATAGGAAGGACAGTGTCCTGCAACAGCTTACTTTAAGAGCTTTTAGTTAAGGAAGTTGCCAAATGCTCTCTGAGATACCAAGTACTCTGTATCAGCAGGATCACTCACATTCACACAGCTGTCAACTCCTTCAAACACATTTGCAAGGCACCACTTTCCTGTACAAAAGCCACGTAGTTCCCAACCTGCTCCCATTTCTACATTTATCCATATCCTGACTTAATTATATTCTTTATATTCCTTTCAACAACTGCCCAGTACTGAAAATATATCTTCTCATCAAATGTTTCCCTGACCTCTCCTGAGACTTTTTAAAACTGCATCAGATTTGTCACCTTAATTTAGTCCTTTCAAATAAAGGCCAAATTAAATAGGATTAGCATATCAGCGTTAGTAACTTAGCAATTTCATGCCTAAATGAATTGATAATTCTTAAGTGAATGCTATTCAGTATAGGAAACTTGATAGTATTTACTTCATCAAATAGATCTAAAAGTCATCTACTGAAGATTCAAACGTGATTTTTTTATTTTATTTTTTTCTTAAAACCAAGGATGGGATCAAATGGGAAAAAAAGTAGTTTGGAACTACCTTACTCTCCTTCACAGGTACCACTGACAAAATACAGCAGGCTTCAAGACTTCAGCTTTCTGAAGAGTATCTTTGTGTCATGGTTTCATAGTGCAAATTGTGTTATTGCAAATTAGAAGGAAAATTTTCTGGAAGAGGGGCTAGTAAATTTGTATACTTCACTGGCAAATTCAAGAACTGTATCTCCCATGGTTATCATAAAGAACATCTATTTCCCGAGTTAATGTATAGGTCTCTTATTCATGCCAAAGTTTCCTTATAGGAAAAAGCAGAGGTTTCAAATTCTGTTTGGCTTTTAGCAAAAGAGGTCTCCTCATAACTTGCTCTTCTTCATCTGTTTTCCTTATTGTGAATACTACTACATACTAATACATATTAATGAAAACATGAGACGGGTTTTTCTCTTTTATGACTCAGCACCCTTAGCTAGAAAGCAAAGATCATCCTTTTGCAAGAGAATACAGCAAGAGAGAAGAATATTTTGTACTAACCCTGGCATACTTCCGATCACTTTTTTGTTCCTCTTGGCTCACAGCTGGCCTATAAATTCATAGCTACCTCCTTTGTTACTATTCCACAGAAAATGAGATGAGGGAAAACATGCATGAACTAGCTCAGATCATCTTTGGAGAAAATAAAAAACTGAAATACAGTATTTTACTAAGGACAAAGAAGAGATTCTGTAGTTTTACCATTTATAGACAAAGTCAACAATTTGGAACAAATAAATAAGAAGTCTTTTGAAATGCTTTCCAAAGATGATGTACATATCTTTTCTCTCTTAAGTGTTACAGAAGCATCTCAGATACAGCTGTTACAAAGAACTGAGACAAAACAGATGGAAAAAAAGTAAGAAAATACACCAGGAGAATCAACAAAATAGTTTTCCATAGGTTTACAAGGCTCTTGAGTGACTGCTTTCCACCAAAGAATCCTTATACTTACCAGGGAAGGTACCTCCTGCTGGAAAAGAAGCATTTTTGTCATATTTAACATTCAAACAGACAGGTTTCTCAGGATCAGGCAGGACATTTAATGTGATTACAGGACAATCTAATGTGGTCTTGTTGTATGAGGCTTTAAGCTGTATAGTGTGCTCTCCCCTGAAATATACAGAAATCATGAAAACTGTTATAAAATATCTCTTCTGAAAAAACAATTTTCAACAGACTTCAGTCTGAATCATGTACATGAAAGCATGATAAAAAAACACCCCAGAAGTTATCAGTAGTAAAGGGAAGAAAAAAATGGAAGTGTTAATGCAAAGTTAGACAAGTAAGATCATAAGTTTAAGGTATTCTTAAGATATTTGCTTATTAAATTTACTTTTTGCTTTAATATTCATTAGCTTCATCATGTTTCGTTGCCTGTCTATGAGACACTAGCAACTACAGCTTTAAGTTGCAGAAGACGTTAAGGTGGAAAGCAAGCACAGCTAATTAAAATGCTGTCTAAGGAGCATTCTGCTTTGACAGTTTCCAAAGTGTGAATCTACATACAACTCACATCTAGCAAAGTGCATTGCAAGTATATGATGACTTCATTACTATAGAGAAACTCATTTTTTTTTACAGTATCAAAAACTTGAAATTTAAGTTTTTAAACAGAACTGGGAATATGATACTTAACTGCATAGAGGCTGTGCTTCCCAGCCAGTTTTGATTATGCTATAAAACATAGGATGTTACCACTGAGCACACCTGTTTCTAACCTCCAGTAATATTTTGATAACTAATATTCATCATCCTTCTACCAAGATGCAGGCATTATAAATACGCTAAGCACCATCAACAGCATTTAAAATAGATTTTCTTCCACATGCAAAATAATGTCATGGGTCAAATCCTGCAGATATGAATGCAAAAATATTAACTGACATGAAATACTTCAGAATTTTAAGAACAAGCACTTATTGCTAGCTTCTAAGCTACCTAAAGCCAACGTAGTCTTGCAAGAAAAGCTCAGGGATACAGGGAGTGGGTAGCAGAACTGTGAACACGAAGAGGATATAGAAATAATGAATTTGGAAAGTCAGATGGGACATGCGAGTGTAAGGGGAGCCAGAATGACTGACATGAAGAAGCAGGAGCCACAGGACACACATCTGCAGGAAATGAGACTTCATGAGTTTTACTGCAAATAAGAAAAAATAAATATATATATTTAAAATTCTTTTGGACACTTTACCTAATCCTTTAAAACAATGGCTAGCACCCAGAGGAAGTGGGGTTTCAACACTCCTAAAATGTGCTCCTACTTTGAAAGCATAGCGTCTGGATCTGGTCACCCAAAGCCTGTACATTTCAAACATTTTAAGTGGTTTATGACACCATCTGCACTAGGTACGGGTTGACAATTATAAGCTGTGTTTTACCAAGACCAGAAAAAACAGGATCCAGAAAATTAGAGCAGCAGATTCTCAGAAGACCAAAAGAAGCAGCTATTGAATTTTATTTAGTTAAGCCCTTAATTTCTTAAAGCTCACTATCTGGCCTTCCACTGGCATACAAATAATAAATGTGTGACCTTAGCTCTAGATTCATTCTTGGTAGGTACTTTATGAAGTGTGCAGCTTAAATACATCTAGCAAGTGACATTTGAGAATTCAAATTTTTTCCATATAGTTTTCACTACTTACCGACGTGCGTGGATACTAAAAACTCCCAGGTTAGCCCTACCATTTTCATCAGTTTTATGTTGCTGGTTTGAAGGAACAATCTGTCAAAAAAAATTTTTTTTATTCTTTCAGTGACACAGAAGGAGTATCAAGTCTTAGAATAAAATGTATAACTCATTTGCTTCCATACTCTCATTCCATTTGAGCAATAGCTTCTTTGTAGTTTTGCAC